ATAAGATGTAAATTCCTGTCAGTTGTCATTTATATATAAATACTGGTTGATGATTTCAACCTAAGAAGTTCGAACTATTAAAAAAAACTGAACTGTCTTTTGAAGATAACAAGTATTCTCTTTTGATTACTCAACAAATACAACCCTTGTTAACAATACCTATTGATACATCAATTGTTTTTGATGGAAAGAATCAATTATAACATATTGAAATTCTGTGATGTAGGAATAACAGGTCAGATCTATTATTGATTTAGTATTTATTTGACTTTAGTTCTTCCAGTTAGATTTTAAAACTGCAAGTATTGAAAAAAAATTATCTTATATTCATATTTCAATAATCTAACTTACTTAGTAGCAAGATCTGAAACCTTGGCCAAAATAAAATTAAAAAAATCATCAAAAACATCAAGGATTGGTCATAATGTAATGTGATTGCTTAAATTTAATTTCAGAAATAAGTCATAATTTCAGAAATGTCATAATTTCAGAAATGTCATAATTTCAGAAGTCTGTAGGAAAAATTTTTAGAGTTAACTTCTCTTTTTCTACCATTAATTCACTTTCAAAATAGCTGCTCTGCTGGAGATACGTAGAAAACAAAGAGCTGTTATAGGGTTTCTGTTTTGGGAAGGAGGAAGCTTAAAAAAACAGACCAGTGATTACAGTACTTGACTGGACAGCCCTGCAGTCTTGACTGAGCATTTTTATGAAGGAAACACTCTGAGAATAAGGGTTCTTTTCCAATGTAGTAAAAGATGCCAACTAACACATGTCTAAGAAAACAACTATGCCATCATTTAAGGGTGGAGTACCAAGATGGAGAAAGGAAATTTTTGATTTTGAATCCTGAGACTTGGATTTGTTTTTGTATGCTTTTCCTATTAAATTTGGTAATTAAAGATCAGGAATTTCATTTTTGGTTGACTTTTATATAATTTTTTTTAAAAATAACCAATACACACATTTGTTTAATTGAGGATGAAATCTTTTTTTATTGATGCAAAACTTATAAAAATAGGGTTACTCAGTTCTTTGAGGACATTTTTTAATAGTTCTAAGTTTTTTTTTTCTAACTTGTTCTGATTATCATTTCTTTTCAGATAAATGATGATGAACATCAAACTAACTCAACAAATGAAAAGGCACACTTTAATTGTTTCCTTAAAGGCAGGGCATACTGATTTACAGATTGCTGTCTTCCTGAAAGTTGAAAGCTCAAAGTTTTGAGGCACTTTAACAAAAGAATTGTGCATGAGGACCTTTGATACAAGTCATATTTGGTGCAGAGAGGTCATGTCAGCAAAGACAAAAGATAACTAATCTTCACAAAACACTTGTTGAGCAAGTTGAAACCTCAAGAGCCTGGAATGTTTTGTTTTTTTCTCTGAGGAGAAAAGCTTTGATCAGAGCCAAAAGGTCAGCCAAAATATTGAAGCTTACCTGACAGATCCCAAGGGCATTCCAATGGTCATGCACAGTTTCTGGCAACTGTGATGATTCTGGAAGTTGTGGTCAACAAAGGAGATTTCATTCCTCATTTCTTCCCTCAGGGCTTAAGGGTCAATGCTGCTGATTATAAGGAAATGTTGGCGAGGGCTGTGAGGTCTTGGGAAAAAAAGTGTGAGCAAATGAAGACTATACTTACCAACAAAATTCTGTGCCATCTCATAAGGCCAAGATGGCCCAAGAATGAATTAGTTACAATTTCTATGATCATGTCACCCCAAACACATGGCCACCTAGCACTCCAGACCTGAACCTGATGGACTACTATGTATGGGTTGTGATCGAGAGAGAAGTCCCTTAATACTATAAAATCTCTAAAGTCCCACCATAACTAGCACAATGTCCAAAATAGATAAAGATCATCTGATTAGGGCATGTCAATGTTTCAGTCCTTGTATTGAAGTAGTCATCAATACTAACATTGGATTCATTAAGTAGATGCATCAAGAAAAGTCAAGATTATTCATGCCAATTTTTTCTCAAATAAAGCTTTTCTTTTCATGACTTATGCATCTTTTATTAAATTCATGCAAAGAACTAAGCAACCTTGTAGTTTGGTTTTGAAATTTTATAAAAAAGCAGAAGAGTTTTTTAAGTTATGGATTTTATCATTGCCAAATGTTTGTTATTGAGTATTAAGAATAAAATATGACATACAACTGAGACCAAAAGATGATTTTCAGTGTTAACATCATATCTAGAGATGAAATTGTATTGAACAAAAGAAAAGTGAAAATTATTTTATTTTTTTTAAATGAATAATTCTACTAGGATTACATAATTAAATTTCACTTCATTTTCCTTTCACATTTTTTTTTCTCTTAAAATTACTTTCTCTTAAGTCTTGTATGGATCATGTAGATTAATATTTTAGGAAATTTTTTTCTCTGCATAGCATTAATGTTACTAGTGTACTGTAGAATGTCAAGTCTTCCTTTTATTATCCATATATATTATTTACATTTCAGAATATTAAATTTAGAAAGATTAGATTATTGCTGGGCAGTTTAAAATTGATTCACTTTATAATTCATTTTATTTTTTTGATATAAAGTTTCAACAGTTATTTATTGCAAGAACTGCTTTTTGAAATCAATTTTTCCATCTCAAAAAGAAGTGTTGCCACATATATTGAGACCTTATGTAAAAGTAATTGAAAATATACACATATAAAGTTTTTAATTTGACATAAATTGAGAGCCAACCTAATTACTTGTTTTTTCTTTTGCATACATTAGGATAAGGTGGAGAGATTCAGCCTATATATTTTGGCTTCCAGCATAATATTCTGAAATGGAATTATTTTTTCTTTGCTGCTATATACTTTAATTTAAAGTATTTTAAAATATTTATTTTTGTTGTAAATCATAGATGAGTTTTGATACAATTTCAAACTTGTATTGCATATACAATGTTATAGAATTTATTATTGTAAAATAATATAAGCAGATGTCAAGTGTTAATCAAATTTGAATTGTTGATTAACATGTAGCAGATCATAAGCAGATACTATTTTTTGTTAACTCACATTTTTGTAAGCATAGGTTATAAAATATTTCATGGAAAAGCCATCTTGGAAATAAATCTTATTGCATGATTCAATAGTTCATTTCATGGAATTTTCCTTATCTCATTGGACACTTGCTTGAAGTAAAATATAATTATACTAACAATTTTGCGAATTTAAAGCAGTTTCAGCGTCCAAATCTGCATTTAGTAGTTGAACTTAATTTTAAGAAATTAGAACATGAAATTAAAATTTTGCACATCAGTCTTTCAAGAAAAAATTCTGATTATATTGATATTCTTTCAATTTGATTTGAATTTTTTTTTCTTTTTCCTGGTATCTTTGCCGATCTTTTAATTCAAATCCCTGGCTTACCAAATATATGTATTATTGTCAGTTTGAAAATTGTCTAATTGTAGATATAGATGTAGAATTTTTATTAAAATATACCTGTTTCTTTCAAACTTAACACTCTAAAATGAAAAAGATATTCATGTCACCAAACTTTAGTTCTTAAAGAAGTGATTGTAGAATCAATTAAAAAATTAAAAATTAAACCTTGATTTACAGTTTCCCCACAATTTTACAATTTTGTGCAATAAGAGGGAGATAAACATTTCAAGAAAGTCAGTAACTGTGTTAATAAAAAAAAAAAAATTCACAATTTTTTAAATGTTTATTTTCCACAAGATTGAGTTTTTTTTTTTTTGTTTTGTTTTTTTAAATAAGCTGAAACTTATGGTTACTTAAAGTAACAAATTTTCCTATGATGCCTGCCATTGTGTTGCTGATAGTTGTACATTAGTTGGCAGTTCTTATAGTTAACATTGTAATTTTGTCTTCTTAACCTACCATCAAATTAAGAGGAATGTTTTTCATGGAAATGACAATTTAAAATGAAAAATACCTCACAAAATATTTGTGTATTTTCTTTTTTTAGATAACCTTAAAATATTTCCTTTGTGGTTCTTTTCATTCTCTAAAAATATCAATCATACTCTTTCTGAAATTACTATTTTTTGTGTAATTTGTAATTGAAAAAAACAAAAATTATTGTTAATTGAAACATTATTATTGATAACAGTTTACTTTGACAGACTTTAATTTCAATTAGGATCAACCGTGGAAAATGTGATACCTAAATGAATTTTTTAAAATGAAAAAAATTAAATTCAAAATTTAAATGTTTCTTATTAAAATTTTAAAAAATGAAAACTATTCTTGTAAAAATTTATTGTTCATTGAAAAAAAAAATTCCTAGGACAGTAGCGTCCTTAATATATTTTATTTTATAAAAGTAATTAAAAGCTTTTCTGATTAAATAATGTCATAGTTTTATTGCTTTTGTATTTTATAATTCAGAGCAGATTTTCCATAAATAGTGTATCTGTTTTACCAAAAAAAAAAAAAAATTCTCCAAGGATTCCTGCTTTTAACTAATATAAATATGAAATGGGTGTAATTTCTCTGGATCCTGGATTACTACTACTACTACTACTTCTACAATAAGTAGTAAGAGTGGTTTGTGAAACTATTTTGTTAAAAATTGCAAACAATTGTTACATTTATATTGAAACAATAAAATGAGTTTTTTGTTTTTTTGAGTGCAGTAATTTTAAATGCAGTAAAGGTGGGAGCTGAAGATTTTTGTCCAGTCAAATGTATTATTTTATTTTTTTAAAAAATCTTTTCTTGGTCCAGATGAACATTTCAGCCCCACCATCCCACATGACATTTTTGAAGGATAATATTGCATATAGCCACTTAGTGAACTTTAAATAATTCATTTTAAAATCTATTTATTATATATAAATAATTCAGCTTCTGGTTTTTATGATAATTGAATCTCTCATGTAAAAAGTATAGATTGATAACTAATTATTTTTTAAATAGCCTATTACAAAGAAACCACTTGAAGTTATTTGATAAATTTATATTTCTTTTTAAGTTGCTGAATTAACGTGTTGTTGTCTCTTTTTTTCAGGTCACTTTCCGTACTAGGATCTACCATTGCAATATCAACAGTCAGGGTGTGATTTGTCTGGACATTCTCAAGGACAATTGGAGCCCAGCACTGACCATATCCAAGGTGCTCCTGTCCATCTGTTCACTGCTGACTGACTGCAACCCTCAAGACCCTCTGGTAGGCAGTATTGCAACTCAGTTTCTCCAGAACAGACCAGAACATGATAGAGTTGCTCGACTTTGGACAAAAAGATTTGCTACTGGTCTTTAATAGTGGCCAACAGGCTGCACGGACATTTTCTGTTGTGGCCACCCTCCAGGACACTAATTCTAAAAGACAGTCCAGAAGGATCATAAATTCCACCCATGGTGGATGTTATTACTCATTGTGAAGTTTAATGTCATACAACACAGCCAATCCATTCAGTGAATGCAACGAAAGAAGGGAATGCTGGTTGTGGGACCCAAAACCTCTACCTCTGTCCATCATCAACTGTGTCTGGTAACTGAGCTTGATATCGTTATTTTGTGGTTGTCATTGGATGTAAGGATGCGTTATAAAACTTAGCTGTCCACTACCCAACTTTCCCCCACCGCACAGGACTGGCTACCAGAACCACTGCTGCAACAACCCTGCTATTTTTCCAGAGAAGACAGAAAAGAAACTGACTTTTTTTATGTTTCTTTATTTTTTTTTTTATTTTTACAGCATAAAATAAATGAATAATCCTGAAAATAAAAAGTAAAATGAAAGAGTTACATCAAATAGCACTTGTGGTTGCAGCTAGGCACAATTTTGACCAATATTCAGTTTTATTTTACTTTATTTTATTTTATTTTTTTTTTTATATAAATAAAGCATTACCAAAGAAATAATTTGTATCAATTATGAATTTAACTCTCATCTTAAAATCCAGTTAATTATGTATCTTTATATTTCCTTCATCGTCTCCCCAGCCCATTATTTATTTATTTTTTTTTTTTTGTTTGGGTTGAAAAAAAAAATACATTTGCAAAAACAATTATTTTTTGTTTAAGGAGATGATTTGGGGAAGCTAAATGACAAAATATAAATGATTTTTATAATTTTTGTATTTTTTTAAATTTATTTATAACCATGTTGCTTTATTTACAGAAGATATAGAGATCTATTAAATCAGTAGAAGGTTACAAGTAAGGATCAAAATTACAAGACTAGCTTACTAACCGTCGTTCTGTTAGTTACACTTTATACAATTATATATTCTTTGAAAACATGCTTACCCTAAGCTTTTGACTATGCTATCTGGTAACAAAAAAATAAACTTTCATACATGTAGGATCACAAAAATTCATAGGGGAATATTATTATTGTGTATTTTTCTTATTTTTATGTTCTTTCATTCTTTTAAAACAAGTTTGAAGTATTTTTGTTTAATTTTTTTACATATCTTGTTTTGTGTGATATGACATATTTACACTTTCTTTAATGGTCAATATTTTAAGTTTAACCACAAGATTTAGTTCCTCCATGTTAGGCATTCATTAAAATGCATTATCATTCTCATCTTATTCATATTTGATACTTTAAAAGATAAATTTCTCTTGGTGGGAGCCTGAAAGAGAATAACCTAATGAATCATGCTCTTCTTTCCCAGTCATAATATTGTCACTCACCTTTTTTAAAACTGTTCTTGTCTATAAATTGATGTAACAAAAGTTGTTGATAGAGTGCTTAGTATTGTGTAGGACTTTTTTTTCCAGCCTGCCAAGATACAACAACTCAATATGGCAATGATTTTATAAGTGATCAAAAGGCATTTGGAGTCGACTCATGTTGTCTTCATAGCTCTCCACAGTTCCCTGTTATTTGTGTGTGTGTGTGTGCGTGAATAGATCTTTTCACCACATCATATTAACAAGCGCATCCTAGTAGGTCTTCTTCACATGGAAACTAAAGAGCACTGAACTGAACTCTGTGATATGCATCTGATACTTCCTGCTGCATTGAATTTGAATGAGACTTGATTCAGTGACTCTCATAATAGAGATAATTCTAGACAGACAACTGTTTTCACAATAATTAAGGACCCATATTTGGCCAATGTACTGTTCACAATGGATGGTAATATCTTCTTCTATCAGGTATTCTTTAAAATATTTAAAATATCATACAATGGTAATAATATTTGTTGACTAATTTTATTATTATTATTATTATTATTTTTTTTAATTTTTTTTTTTTTGGAGTGTTGTCAGTATCTGACTTGTATTTTTTTCAGCTACTTCTTATTGCAACTTGCAGATCAGCACATGATTGCTAATATGCAACATTGGTTAGAAATAAATAAGCCTCTGGTAAGATTTGAATTCTTAACCATGGAAACCTAATTCTCTATTTCAGCTACCTTGCCAATTAGTATGTGTCCTATAATATATACAATATCTAATATAGAAATGGAGGTTTTTGTAATTTTCATAAACCAATTAAAAATACTTTTTGGTGTATTACATGAAAAGCTGAAAAGTCTGGCTTCTTCATGAAGAAGGGAGCCGACTTACCCCAATTCTGATGTTTTCTCATTGGGTCATATTTTGTATGCAATTTCTTCTAAAAATGCTAGTAAGGAAAGGCAAGTTGACGTTTTTAATTTATATTTTCTTGTGTATTTTTTTTTATTTTTCTACTTTATGAAAGCTAGCAAATTTTAATAGCCAAATGATACATCAACCAATTAATTTTGGCAAACTTAAAAATAATTTTTAATGTCAGAAGTTACTAATATTTTATTTACTTTCTAAATAATAAACACATTCAAGTGGGAAATGTTATTTCTAGAATATATTAATGATATATGCATGGACCTTGATGACCTTTGAAGGACCTGAAACAAACGTGGAAACATTTCCAAAATCTGTTTTCCCAAAGCAAGCCATGTCACATATGTAAACATAGCTGTAACTTTTGCTAATATTGATTTGTTTTTTTTTTTTTTTTTTTTTATCTCTCCTTACCTATTTACCTAACCTATTAATTCAAATCTACACTCACTTATCTGAATCTTTGTTGGAAAGTTATATCTACTGTTGATTTTGTCTACATGCTGTTATATAACATTTACATGTCAATATAACTCTGTTCTACCATGTGTTATATATACATATATATATATATATATATATTCATGCATGCTTATTGCCAGTTGGATTTTTTCATACTTTTTATAATTTTACATTTAATATCTAACTCTTCGTCGATTCGAATAAACTTGTGAATATTAATCTAAGGGAAGTAACTCTGATATACCATAATGTTTTAGGTGTTATGTTTCTTAAAATATCAATACAATCAAACTTAATTTAAGTCTTCAAAAATGTTAACATTTATAATGAAATTCAATTTATATTTTTAAAGATTTATGTTTTTTTTATCAAAAGCTGTAATGATAGCAAATTTAGTTGTTAGACAATTACTGATTTGTTAACATATTGATAAGTTCATTTTGATATGTAAGTATCTGATGCGTTGTTGAAGTCAAAGCATGATCTCAATGTCTGCAAAGCAGTTTCTACCTAATCATACATAAACTCTGCAAGACCTCTAAAGATTTTTCTCTAGGATATGCTGCCAGGATGTTAACAGTGGGTCCTTTTAACTATTACAAATTACATTGTGGTTCTACAAGTGCTCAGTGGATGGGAAATCAGGAATTCAATTCCCAATACAACACTTGAAACTATTTCAACACAACTTTTGCAGTGTGATAGGATGAATTATCTTCTTGAAAGATGTTATCATAGACTTTTAAGGAATGTACCTGCTTTTCAATGGTGTTGAGGTAGGAGATACCGTTTACATGCCTGAGGATCTAACTTTTTTCAATCAAACTATTTCCATCTTTTTTATCAAACAATGTGATCTCTTCTCCAAGATAATTATAAACATGTACCATGGTGTTGATCTGTACTGTGTGTTGCAATCCATTCCTTTCCTCGTGTTGATTAGCTATATGCAATTTGTGCCACAGATGCTCTTCTGTTCATGTTTGGCAGGAAACCTCTGTTCAATTTCTTTATTGATGTCTTGATCCAATGCCTTATTCATAGGTGGCATTTTTTCTGTCTGAAAACAACTGTTGATGGCTATTCACAATGATTGAATGTGAGTTTTCCATAAGCTATGCAATTTTTGAAATTTTCTGATTTTCTGTTCAGAAAAAGATTTTCTTGTCTATAAATGCAGTATTCAGTGCATTAGAATATTTAATACCAGATTATTTATATATTTCTGATATTAACATGTGCAGTTTTCTAACTTTAGCTGTCATTCTTTCTACATGTCACTGGCCATAATGTTTTGATTCTTTCTAGGCTCAAATCTGTTGAAGAAATGCTCAAGATATTGATACATTACAGCCTTTTAAGTCGGGATGTCTTTTCTAATGAGAAAATAAACATTTGAAATCTTAAATATGTAGGAGAAAAAAATTACTTCAGTTATAATATTTTTTCTCTAATAAAAATTTATTATGCATGGGAGGTAACTCTTCCTATTTCTTATCACTGAAAATAAACAATTTCAATAAATCATCACTTGAACTCTGTGTCCATGCATGTATGCACACACGCACATATTTTCTCAGTCTACAGCTGTACACAGGCCTTCCATGCAATACCATTGTTCAAATCAACATCTTAGTCACTGTGATTGGAAGTAGAAAATTCTCTTAAGACAAAATATATTTGAGTGATTAATTATAAAAATAAAACTTTGAATTTCTTAGATAAAATATTTGAGTCTCTGTTAGCCAACTTTTGTGTCCCCCCTCCTTTCAATTTTTTGTCATAGAAAATTTTCCATTAAAATCATTACTTTTCAAAATACAATTAAATGTGTTTTTAATAATCTTTAATTATTATTACATATTAAAATAAAGACTGAAGAAACCTATTTTACACAAGTAGTAATGAGCCTTACCCTACCAGTGTCTGGCCCATGACATATTGACAAGTGTTTAAAGTTGTCCCTCTATATTGGTTACTCCTACCAAGGTTAGAGAGCCTAGTCTGTCATAGTGAAGCATACTAGGCACTCTTAGCCATAACCAAGTGTCGAGGATATGGATTCATGCTTTTCTCAAAGGTACTATTGTAAACTGTGTGTGTATACCTTTTCATGAGGTAATGGCTAACAGGCTTTTCTTAC